TAGGTGTTCTGGGCCATTAGTTTACCTATGTGCGGGAGTTCAGGCGGATGTTGAAGGAAGAATGTTTGAAATTATTGCTGCCTTTTCACATGGGCAAATCATCGTTGTGGGGCTTGGGTGTTGTAGGATGTTGGGGGGGGGGGGTTCNNNNCGTTTAGGGTTTGTGGTGTGTTTTGGCCGTTTAGGGTTTGTGGTGTGTTTTGGGTGCTTAGGGTTTAAGGTTTAGGGTTCTGGGATGTTGGGGGGGTTAGGTTGAGTTGAGCTTTGTGGGCGATATTTCCAGTCAAAAGATGTGGGGGCTTCCCCAAATTGATAGTTTATTGTGGGTCCTTTCAATATGAAGTCTAGAATAGTAATTTGAGGATTATGTTGGAAACTAGACAGTGGGAAAATTTGAAAAGAGGAGTACGTTAAAAACTGGAGGAGGGGATTACATTGCTTGGGGCTTCGTGCCGGGAAATGCCGGGAAGCTGCACATGTTTCTGAGCCCTGAGCAAGACCCTGCATACTCAGCACACGGGCTTTCCAATGGATGTTGATACGGTCTGCATGAAGATGCCAGTTATCTAGACAGGCAAACCCAAGATCTGGAGAGTGGCCCTAAACCCTAAATAGCAGTTTCCATGTTATTTTCCATTATCCCAATATAGCCCCAAACCCCAAACCCTAAACCCTAAAACCCCTATAACCCCTATATATCTGGTTTAGTGCTCTGAGTCCTGGAGTCTGGAGTCCTTTGGCTGCATCACTGAGATGTTCCATCACACCCAGTACCCCCCACCGTGCGTTAGCCCACAAAGTCCACCCGTGCCACATGTGGGCTGAGATGGAATCAAAACCCTACCAAGGGCCCAAACAATAGGGTTTAATTATGACACTTATGGTATTTGGGCCCTAAAACCCTATTAGCTAGGTCCATGGACCCTTAGGAAAAGGCAATTGTTTTGCACATCTTTGGCCGAAGTATAGACTTGTAGACCCATGAGCACTTGAGTCCGTCAGCTCCTCAGTTCCGACCCTGCGATGCATTCCCTAAATCCTACCTGAACTTCCCAAAGGTAGGTAAAACAATAGCTTGAAACCCTAAAAAAAAAAAAACAGCCCAAAAGCCATCATTCTACATACTTTTGGGGTTCAGGTACCCTATAACCCCGCCTAAACCCTAAACCCCTAAACCCCAAAACCCCAAACCCTAAAACCCTAAGACCCGAAACCCCAAAACCCCAGACCCTAAAACCCTAAACCCTAAACTGCAGGCAGTTACCCAGCTCCACTTCATGCCGCTCCGAAGCATTCCATCAGTCCCAGAAGCCCCACATGAGCTAGATTCAGGGTATAGGGGTATAGGGTTTAGGGTATAGGGTTTAGGGTATAGGGTTGAGGGTATGTAGGGTATATAGGGTGTAGGGTTTACGGGTGTAGGGTTTTGGGTATATTAGGGTTTAGGGTTTAGGATTTGGGGTTTAGGGTTTAGGATTTGGGGTTTAGGGTGAAGTGGCTTATGGGTTTGGGCAGATTATAACGGTTTCGCCCAAAATGGCGGCTTACGTTAAATTTAGGTTCTGAAATATGCTTATGAGATATGCAGAAAACATTGTGGACCAAAGTCTTGGGATGTAGAGCTCCCTGTTTCTGGGTCCTTTGTGTGTTCCTTCGCGACACGATCTGGTCATTGCAGGGCTTACCTTCTTATAGTCTAAACTCCTTGAAGGGGCATGTATAAAGGGGAATGTATAGGGCTTATTATGAATTGGATACTAGGAGTTTGAACTATTGCTCATACATTCCCTTTTTCCTTTCTTTTGCTGCTCAAAAGGGTTGATGCATCTCAGCAAGGGTTGCAGTAGGCACCCCAGCAAAGGCTACGCGGAGGGAGTCTGTAAGGTCAAGATCTAACTCTTGGCCCAAACCTGGGCTTAAACCCCCAAAGCAGCCAAAAGGTTTAGGGTATAGGGGTTAAGGGGTTAGGGGTTTAGGGTTTAGGGTTTAGAGTTTAGCTGCCTCTGTGGTTTTGAACCCCCAGCCTCTCCCAAAATATAAAGATGGAACCCCCAAAAAGCATCCGTGATCGTCAGCAAATGAGACTCGCCCCACCCAGACCCTTGGGAGGATCTAAAAATTAGATCCCCTATATGGACCCCTTATAACCTCCTATATCATGCTTATTTAATTTCCCCGATGGTTCTAGGGGATCTAATTTTTAGATCCTGTTGGGGGGTCTGGGCAGGTACAGTAAGTGGGCCGACGCCTTCTCTCAGTTTCAGGCCCAGATCGGCCAAAGAGTTTGATGAGGCTTAGGGTTTAAGGTTTAGGGTTTAGGGGTGTGGAATTTAGGGGCTTAAGGTTGTGAATGAAGGTCTACCTAAACCCCACAAGTATGCAAAATACTAGCCCTCAACCTACAGTAACAGCCACAAAGGCTGTCATTTTGCATACTTTTGGGGTTCAGGTAGGGATGTCGAGGGCTTACCGCTGAACCCACCACCCCGACCCTCAAGGCTAATCCCCAAATCCCCAAACCGTCTAGCGTTTAGGGTTTAGCCTGAACTTTCAATCCTCCTCCATAAGCGCCCTACTCCAAAGCATACGCTCGCAACTTGAAGCACAAATTCCACAAATTCCAGATACTCTGCGAACTCTATCTGGATCAGAAAAGAATGCAGGACAACATCTTTTTTTGCCTATTATTCTACCTACTTTGGGGTCCAGAAACAGCTCACCCGAGTTAGGAATTCAGGGCTGATGGTTCAGGTTCGAGGTTCGGGGGCTGTAGAGGGCCATGTAACCCCGAGAATGCCCAAAGAAATTTTGCACGAAGAGCCAAAATTCGTTAAATCTTACTTGAAGTTTTATGGGACTAGTAACAACCTACAATTGGGCTACTAACCTTACTGATAATCCCCGTAACTGGACGTATGCAGGTTACCCCAGTACGGTCATGAGCCCAGTTATACTTAGTAAATCACTAAGTCCCATGAATCTTCAATCAGACAGCGACTTAACCATGAGGGGTATCCCGACGTTGTGCCCTGAGTTTTAGCCTTAAACCATAAACCCAAAACTCTAAACCCTAAGCCCCAGACCCTGTCGTCCTTGTTTGGAAGCCATGCCCTCGAACACTTCCCTAAACTCTAAATCCTCAAGCCTTGATGACCCTGCAAGCCTTGAACCCTTGCCCTAAGTCCCTAAACTCTACCTGAACCCCAAAAGTAGGTAGAATAACCGCCCCAAACCCAGCATACTTTTGGGTTCAGGTAAACCCTAAACCCCAAATTAAACCCACAACCCATGGAGGCTTTCGCGGAAGTCACGCGGCGAGCCGCCCACGAGACGCCTGGCTGCTGCCGGCTTGTGGGCACTGATTGTTTTTGGTCAATGAGAAATGTGCCCCAAGGGTCCATGTAGCCTTGCCTTGGAATAGTATATACTGACACCACACTAGTTACATGGATTCCTAAACCTAAACCCCTTTGGGGTAGGCACAGGCTCATGGTTTAGGGGTGGTTTTGGCCTGTGCGATTCCAAGGTCTCAGCGGCTGCTCAAGGAAGCTTCATGCATGGGATAGCCAAAGCCCCCAAATCCAACATCCCGAACCCTAAGGCCTAAACCCTAAACCTTAAACACCTGTTGTGCGACCTTGGTTGGAATGATGATTTGGCCTTGTGCAAGACTGAGAACTAACCTCTGCAGAATCCAGGAGACAATCCGTTGACCTAGGCTTAGGGTTTATCATTTAGGCGGGTTTAGGGAGTGGGTACCAATCTGAGATGAGTCTCAAACAATGACGCCCTGAATCCCCAAAGGGGACCCCCTTTCAATCTCTGGATGATCCCCACTCCCCACATCCTCGGAATTCCCTCAGATTACTCAGAACCCCAGTCCCATTACCTTGACTAATCCCCACATCCAAATTCCGAAACCTAAGCCCTGTCATCCGAATTCTACAGCCTGACTCATATATCCTTGTACCAAGACCTTTGAACTATGGTATCCTAA